TCTAGCCGTGTAGAATGTAGAATCAGACGCCTAACCGTCTCCGGAATCTCTCCCGGAGGCGGCGGTGCGTGCGAAAGTGACAGGAGAGATCTGGCGAGCAAAGCGAACTGCTGCCTGTGGTTGTAGTAGGCGCGTTAGCCTGGGCGACGCGAGCGACTGCAAATCCCCTGGGGTCGCAATTGTGTGTCTGATGAGAAACGCGCTAAAACGACGCGACTTAGTTCGGTGCTCGCACCACAGGCTTCAAGCTGCGAAGATCTCACTGCACTAAGGTAGGTAAGTGAATCACTCCGACGGTGAAGCTCTTGGTGTGTTGTCCTAGTGCAATGCTTTCTGGAGTGATCTCTTCGAATTCGAAGGAATTGGTTCAGGAGGCCCTAATGTCCTCGCGATTCCCGAAGGATGCGGTTCAGGAGTGACGCACTGTAGCAAACTGACGGTTCAGGTCTCTGGCTTGACGGTACCATTTGATTGGAGGCGGGGTTCGAACGCACTGTGCAATATGAGGCAATGGTTGGAAATTCGTAGGACACGTGTACAGTGAGTCCAGCGTGACTTCAATCGTAGGACACGTGCCTTAGAGCCCAAAGTGCTTGATGACTGGCGGACAACTTGTCCAGCTTGAACAGTGTCAAACACCATAGCAACTGGGTCAACTGGAGTAGCGCCCATGGAAATGTGCGTCGAAACCTCATTGGTGAGGGACAAGAAGGCGCTGTGCGATTGATGAACGTGCAGAAATGTCAGTCGCAACACCAATGTGCAACCCGAACACCGACGTGTTGGGCAGCGATTTGTGGAGCATCGTGGAGTGCAGATTTTGATTGGCTGAGAGCGAATTGTCAGGTTTGTCGAAGCAACAATGTCGGTTGGATGGTTTGCGCTGCGCCTGCGACTCTGGGCGAACGCGTTTCCGATGATTTTGATAGGCCGAAATTATTGAGACGAACTCAAAACTCACACACGGGTGTCAGATACGGATAAGATTGACGGCAAAACAGTCGCATGCAGGCAAGTGACCTGGCAAGACCACATGGCCGCGTGTCTGAAGTTAAACGTTGACGGATGTACATTATCGTCCAGGAATGTCGGCGAACGTCAGCCCTCCGATCAAGCATTCCGACCGTCAAGATTCTTCGACATCTCAAAGTTTCGTCATGAAACGTCGACGTTCACTCTAGACACGCACTTTCCTCATCGCAGACATAACATATGTATCAAGGTGGTCAAACGGATTCGTTACTACGACATGCAGTCGCGCGTAACCTGTGGTTCTTAGTAACCACATGGAATGCCTTGTATGTCGTATTGTCCTTATATTCCCTATTACATGAGGGCTAATAACCGTGTGTAGATAATTAATTTCGGTTTTGAAGTGATGGAATGGAAAAACAATTAGCTATAAGCCTAACAATCACCATAAGGCAAAAAGACATACTGTGATACTTTTATTCGCATTTTTGGTTATTTAGGTTATGTACATTTCTCAGATTTGTAGCAAGGTTCATGGTTTGTTATTTAGCAAATGTACATTTCTCAGATCTGTAACATGGTTCATGATTGGGAGGGAGAAGCAAAAAATGCAGGGGGCAAGCAAGAGACGCAAGTGCTTGCGAGCGAGAGAGGCGGAGGACCTGCAGAGAGGCAGGTACGCGGGGGAAAGGGGCGGGAGAAGCAGCTTCGCTGGGGGAAGTGGAGAATTTAGATGTACACTGCGTACGGGGCGATACGAGGTGGGCTGGGGCGAGAGTCGATAGAACCCATTTTACAGTCCCGTTAAAGTCCAGATTCGTCGTACACTCACAGAGTAAGTATGGAATATCAAAAGAGGTACAGCTTCAAAAGGGCTGAATAACCAGAAATCAATAATTAAAAACAATAGGTACACCCAAATATACAAAATATTATAACACATGCCCTCATCTCATGTTTACACAGCAGTTTAGACAACGGAAGACACAATTACTCCATAACCTCATGGTACCTGATACCAATTAAGATGTTTTTTTGTGTACAACCTAACAAGTGTAGAAACATTCGCAGATCAATCTTATTCGACAGGGATTCGGACTATTCTAATCGTATTCGTATCGTACGTGGGTCTGTATTCGGCCAAATAAGAATTCACGTACTATTCGACAAATATTCGAATAAACTATTCGTATTCGTATTCGTATTCGTATTTACAGGCTTACTCACCAGCTATCGGCCAAACGGTATATTCCCCGTCCTTCCAACAGCAGCAGTCCGTGCTGATTGTAATGCACTTCCTGTTATGCAGACAGGGAAAAAAGGAGGGAAGAAGATAGGGAAAGGAGGGAAGGGAGGGAGGGAGGGAGGGAGGGAGGGAGGGAGGGAGGGAGGGAGGGAGGGAGGGAGGGAGGGAGGGAGGGAGGGAGGGAGGGAGGGAGGGAGGGAGGGAGGGAGGGAGGGAGGGAGGGAGGGATTTCACCGTTTTGTCCCTGTGTCGAAATTCTCGCGTTACGCGCGCGACGTTTCCGGCGAAGTTACCTGTACGCCGAGTCAACGCGGGATTCGGTTTTTCAACCGTAATCCCGAGCTCCCCCCTTGACCGCAAACATGCGCTGTCCTGCGCGTGGGCAGGGCGATCATTCGCCCTGTCCTGTTGCGATCGTGGGCCCTGCCACGCTCGCAACAGTGCGAGGGCACACGCGCGGGCCTGAGGGCCCACACGCACGATCAGGACCCCACGCGCGGGTCCAGATTCTCCCGCGTGGCTGACCTTGACCAGCGCGAGAAATATCTCGCAAACACCCACATCTCTTCACGAGCACGCACAAACATTCACGAAAAACGCACTAACACTCACGGAAAACGAACTTACATGAACGCTCACAGAAATTCATGAACAACGCACAGACTTCACGGAATTTCACGAACACAGACATTCACGAACATAAAATCAACGCACACTCACGACAGCTCACGAAACAGCGCAAATGCACACGAAGTCTCACAATCACACACGAAATTTCACAAACACTCAGGAATGCAACCTCTCACGAAAACGCACATAACTCATGAACCGTCGAGGCGATTCACGAGCCGTAAACACTCAAATGTAAAGCAAAAAAAAATGTGCAACTCACACAGAACAAATTACCTTCAAACAAAGCACCTCACTTTCCTTCACTGTCGCCGAATAGGTGGTAGGTTGTCGTGCAAGCCATGTATTGCACTCAACAGGAGGGAGGGAGGGTAGGGGGTAGGGAGGGAGGGAGAGAGGGAGGGAGGGAGGGAGGGAGGGAGGGAGGGAGGGAGGGAGGGAGGGAGGGAGGGAGGGAGGGAGGGAGGGAGGGAGGGAGAGAGGGAGGGAGGGAGGGAGGGAGGGAGGGAGGGAGGGAGGGAGGGAGGGAGGGAGGGAGTGAGGGAGGGAGGGAGGGAGGGAGGGAGGGAGGGTGGCTGGGAGGAAGGGTGCGAGGGCGGGAGGGACAGAGGGAAAACTACCTCAAAGGCAAAACCTGAGTGGATTCAAATAGAACATGCATGCGTAAGCGACTAAAGAATTTTTAGAAGTTTCAAAAGTCAACTCAGTTCTTAGATTGTGAGAGAAGGAATACGCGTGCGTAAGCAATTATGTAGAAACATGGATGTTCAGCTACACTATTACATTGACTACTGCCAGGCTATCACCTTGAGCATGTGTCACGAGACACTTACATTATCACCAAGAGAAGCCACACTCACCTTCACATTTAGGAACTCCCCTGGCTCAAAGTCCATGATCTGCAAAAAGAGCACACCAAGTGTTAAACGTGAAGGGCACTGACGCTTGTGTTTGTTGGCAAAAAAAAAAAAAACAAAAAAAAAGAGTGAGGGAGAGAAATGTAGATATGGTCTTTTTCAGCATCAACAGGCAAAACACAGGACAAAATAAAGCAAAACATTGCTGTTCGAAACAACCCCTTACATGAATGTTGAAGTCATAGGCAATCGTGGTCGGAAGCAGCTTGCGAAGCGCGAAGACCTGAGAATGATGCATTTGAAAAACAAAAGGAATGACACCGCAGAACACCGCACAGAATTGCACCGCACATTCAGTTGCAAAAGGGAGGCGAGTAATGAGTAATTTGAGAAGCGCGAAGTCCGAAGAACGATGTGAGCTGACAGTGACAACAGAGTGGGTTGCTTGCGCAATTAAACTGACCACTACAGTGACATGTACAGGTGGCAGTCACAGGTGGCAGCTCAGCTAGCAGTGAAAAGGCGAAAAACACAATTGAAAGCTTGAAAAACAAGTGACAGTGAAAACGGTACACAAGGGGAATTGAATACAGAACACCAAGTATATTTAAAAACGAGTGAAATCGAAAGCAGCACACAAGCAGAATGAAAACAAGACACAAGGGAAGGTCAGAGCAGGACAACACACCTCCCCAGGGACCGGCAGGATAGGTTGCTTGTGCGTCTGTCCCGCCACCACCGCTAGTGCTTCTGAACCGCTTTCCACCCCTGAGGCTGTTGCGAGGCCCGAGATAGGGCAGTACCTGATGTTGGTGGGCGGAGGGCATGGGGGGGGGGAGGGAAGGAGGAGAGGTAATATATTTTTAGTCGACTTAAAACCCCTCGATCTCCGCCCCTGAGGCTGTAGCGAGGCCCGAGATAGGGCAGTACCTGATGTTGGTGGGCGGAGGGCGAGGGGGAGAGGATATAGTGATTTTTTAGTCGACTCAAAACCCCTCGCTTTCCGCCCCTGACGCTGTAGCGAGGCCCGAGATAGGGCAGTGCCTGATGGTGGTGGGCGGAGGAGAGGGGGGTTTGGGGCGGGGGTGTGGGGGGGGGGGGGTGGGGACCATGAGGCTGTAGCAAGGCCCGAGATAGGGCAGTACCTGACGTTGGTGGGCGGAGGGCGTGGTGTTTGGGGTGGACGGGTGGGAGGGGGGGGTGTTGGTGAGAAAAAGAGTTTTGAGTTGACTCAAAGCCCTTCTGAATCTCTGTCCACCCCTGAGGCTGTAGCAAGGCCCGAGATAGGGCAGTACCTGATGTTGGTGGGCGGAGGAGAGGGGGGTTTGGGTGGAGGCGAGGACGGGAGAGGGGGACTCCTGAGGTTGTAGCGAGGCCCGAGATAGGGCAGTACCTGATGTTGGTGGGCGGAGGAGAGGGGGGTTTGGGTGGGGGGGAGGAGGAGGGGGGAAGGGGGCAGGGATGGGGGTAGGGGGAAGGGATGGGGGAAGGGAGGAGGGAAGGGAAGGTAAGGCGGGAGGAGGAGGGGGGAGGGCAGAGGGGGGAGGGGGGAGGGGAAGGTATCTTACCTTCGCACAATGAGTACGAGTGTAGCTCCAGACACAGAGGCCGTGGGGTTTGTTTGGTGGCAGATACACATAGGAGTCGTCCTGAGTGAAGGAGGGGCAAGGCAAAGGGCAAAGGGCACCTTACCTTCGCTCAATGAGCACGAGTGTAGCTCCAGACGCAGAGGCCAAGGAGTGGGGCGTGTTCGGTGGCAGATACACATACGAATCGTCCTGAGACAAGCAGGTGCAAGGCGAGTTGGTACAGATAAGGAAGGAAGGAGAACGATGGATTTGCCTGAAAGAAGACTTTGGAGTGGAGTGGGAGGCGGCAGATACACATAAGAGCCGTCCTGAGACAAGCAGGGGCAGTGCAAGGCGAGTTGGTACAGATAAGGAAGGAGAAGGAATCATTAGCTTCGAAGCAGATTCAAACGCAGAGTGGGAGGTGGCAGTGCTGCAGATAAACATTAGAAAGTCCTGAATGAAGGATGCGCAATGTTGGCACAATTGTTTGTGTGTTTCAACGGCGCGGGGGTGGGGGAGGTAGGGGTTGCTTGCTAGCTAGCAGTGAAAAGTCCATTAATTGATTTGCTTAATTTGATTTGTTTATTTTTTTCTGTGAAACGTTTCATTTCCATGTGCGTACCGTAAAATCCTCCTGCCGAACAACGGAGCTTGCACAGGTGCTCCCAGCATTGCCAGCTGTCGAGCATTGATTAGCCGGCCCTCCCTCAGTGGTCTCTCCTGGAGCCCCGTACTGAGTGAAGCTGACTCGGCCTGATACCACAAACACAAACCTGCAGCAACGGAGCAATGGGGGAATGCAGCAACGGAGTAAGAGAGCACTCATTGGCCGGCCCTCCCTCGGTGGTCTCTCCTGGAGCCCCCTACTGAGTGAAGCTGACTCGGCCTGATACCACAAACACAAACCTGCAGCAATGGAGCAATGGGGGAATGCAGCAATGGAGCAATGGGGGAATGCAGCAACGGAGTAAGAGAGCACTCATTGGCCGGCCCTCCCTCGGTGGTCTCTCCTGGAGCCCCGTACTGAGTGAAGCTGACTCGGCCTGAGACCACAAACACAAACCTGCAGCGATGTAGCAATTCAGGCAGGCAGGCAGCAATTATTGTTGAATGTATGAAACCACAGGGGTGAAATCTCAAGGTAAGGCAGGCAGGCAAGCAGGCAGGCACAAGGTAAGGCCCCCCACCTTTTGCCAATCTCAAGAATATTTTTCTTTAGAAGTGCAATTTGTCACAATGTGGCTCACATCATACCACCAGTCACACACGTTAATACATGCTTCATGCTTCCCATTTGCGTGATCATTCACCTTGTTACATGGCTGCCCTATTTTCACCCCCGTGCCTCTCAAATCCATGCATCTCACGTCCATCCATGCTTCTCACATGCATGCCTGCCTGCTTCTCACCTCTCCACTCCAGTCACTGGAGGGGCGGAAGGGGCATTGCCTGAAAAAAGGGATGTGCTGATCATGCCTGTGCCTGGGTCTTCCTTCACCTGAATCCTGCCTGCGTCTAGGAACACGCCCCGGCATAACGCCTGGAAAAGCTTCTTGCTGGAAGGTCTCTTCAGGGGATCAGAAAAGCTGCTTCTGGATAGAAGTGAGGATGAAAGAGATGCAGTAGACACAGTAGAAGCAGGAGAGCTGCGCAGTGGATGTAAGGGCGGAACGGCAGATGCAACATCCGGAGCAGGAGCCGGAGCCGGAGCAACCTTGGGATTCTAGTAAGGTAGCCTTGGGATTGACGAGCGGTCTAGAAGCAGCTTCGGGGCGAAGGCGTGGGGGAGGAGCCGGGCCCAACAGGTGTCTAAGGCAGCAGCAGCAGCCCATGCTTTGGAGACAGAGGCGAGGCGGCAGATGGCGGTTGGAGGGAGGTGAGAGAGAATAAGGGCGATGCACTCGGGGGGGAGATGGGGAGGCGGTTGGGGAGATGTGAAGTGGGGTGAGGAGGTGGGAGGGAGGTTTGATGCGATTGAGGTGGGTTGGGAGGGGTGGTAGGTGGGATGGAGTGGTGCGGGTGTATCGTCGTCCAGGGATGAGGAGCAGAGACCCATGCTTGTGGATGGTATGTAGTCGTGAGAATAGCTGAGTGAAATACTCCGCTGATTATAACATCAACGTTTTGAAGCTGTAAAAATCATTCGGTGAAGCAAGGGGAAAGTAGACGCATCTGCAAATGAGTGGTATAAAGTGGTGGGAAACGGTGCAGTAGGATGGAATCGCTGCTGACGGTCAAGTGAGAAACGCCAACGAAAACGATGGGGATCCTGACGACTGACGGCGATGCTGACGGCGATGCTCTACAATCGTGCCGGGCTGAGGTGGTGGCGCTGAGGTTTGCAGCAGCAGAATGCTGTTAGGTGGTGGAAAAGTACATGTTAAATATGGCGGGAAATACGGCGCCGCGGTTTGGAGGCACTCTGACTACTACAACCGTAGCTCCTGCACTGTCATCATCTATGTAGCTGTAAAAGAAAGCAGTAGTCTCATGGTGCGAGAAACCTGCCTAGAAGCCAGATGACCTGGCAATACTGCAGTCCCACAAGATTTCAACAACAGCAGTATTCCTAGCAGCTCGTCATTGGTATCGACTGAGGTATTCCTACAAGTGTCTCCGTAACTCAAGGCTTTGACTTGAGTGCTATTCGTGACTGGCTTCCGTTCCGTCACTTCGCGACAGCTCAAAGGCTACTGCGCCGTTGCTGGTAGAATATAGGGGTACTAGGATAAACGAGTCAGAAGAACCGAGAAAGGAGGACGAAAAACGTGACTTGTGAAAGTAGAAGCGGAGAAAAGAGAAGTGGTTAGGAGAATAGGATGGGTTGTCTGGGGGGAGAAATGCAGGTGGGGAAGCTATGCTGTCAGAAGAAAGGCGGGAAATATGTTTTCGCTAAGATCTTGGAACTCGGTATTGAGCATAGTGGGGGAAGTACACGCTGCAATGTTTGACTCTAATGTGTGATGTTCTTAAAGCCCGAGTCCCAAATTGCAAGCCGCGCGGGTCAAGTTTTTAAAACTTGATGCTGAGCAGCTTGCAAACTTGAAAAAAGTGCAGCTGCAATTTGTGACTTTCGAGCTCCCAACCAGGGGAAAGACGAAAATTGGCAGTGTGCTGCGAAAAACACGAATTTGACGAATCCTCTCGCCACAGCCCAAACAGTGAAGTACCTCCTAGTCAACCTTCTAAAACATGAACAATTTGGGCCAACGGCTTTAAGTGTTGGTAGGACGGAGGGGAAGGAAAGGATTGCTTCTTCTGATTGCTTGATTGCTGTTGTGAGTGGTTTTGAGGGAGGTTGAGGGAGAGGAATTACGTTTTATACAAACACATATATACATGCAAAATGGTATAGATGGCACTGCTCACCACCATTACCTCTCTTGAAGCTCGGCATCACGAGCAAATGCGTGCCTTGCTACACCATCCAAAGCAAACCTTACCTTCCGCATATCAAAACCCACTGGCGAGCCGACCGTCCCATTTCCCACTACCAGGAAATAATGCAAATCGCACGCACTAGCCAAGTGATGGTAGCACGCATTCAGAAGCCGGTTTGGCCGAATCTCTAGAACCGACGACCCGGATGGCATGAATATCATATTTGCAAGCCCAGCTCCATGAGGCGCCACATAAGCAGCCGCCCGATTGAATAAACCCTTGGCTTCCAGAACAGGTAAGGAACCATCATAAACAACCACTCTGTCTGGTGTGAAGAGCTGCTGCATTGCAGATAGAAGGGTCTCAAATCCGACCAATCGCCTTCTGTCGCTTCCTGACCGTTGCCCCAGAACCACCACCCAATCACGAGGCAGCTGGCGCATTTGCTCCTTCGTCCATGCACCCAGCTGTTTACTTTTGTTAGCACCATTAGCAGTAGCAGCACCAGCTGCCTCTTGGATGGGATTGCGGATTTCCCATGCTTCAGTGAACATAGGAAGCCCATTTGGCGGAAGGAGGAAGCGGGAGCGGAGGGTGCGCCAGAGGCTCGGGCTCGGGTTCCCGCAGGTCTGGTACACGGGTTGGTACAGCCTGGAGGTTCGGTAAAGGGTGGTTGTGTCTTGGTCCGGGGTGATAAGGAGGTTAAGCTCGTAAGGCATGACACCAGTGACATGCCTGAGCACCCGGCGATAAAACGCAAGCTGCGTCTTTTTGAACGCAATGGGGATGTTGGGATGGGCTTTAAGGAAATCCTTCATGATGTAGAATTGTGGGAGGAGGTCGATGAGTGAGTGGTAGTAGTTGCCTCCGTGGTGGTACACGAATGAAACGAGTTCGTCGACTTCAATCACCCTGGAGCCCTTTGCCTTGTAGTGAAACTGCACATAACGAAACAGCAAGCCAGAAAACCGAAGTGAGAATGAGCTCAATAAGAACCACTTCGCAAGAAATAAGTGTTACTGATCCCCCATTTCAGCCCATTTGCTCACCTGTCCGTCCGCATGACACCCCTGCCTGCTGAAGTGCATGGATTCGTTAAAAACCAGTCCCGATGCAGACATCAGCACACCTTCCATCTCGAAATACTGCGCAGCGTAACGCTCGTGAGAGAAATAGTCCTGCCTGTGCCCGTGCGCACACGGTAACCCTGCTGCCCCAGCTTCACCTGTCACAGCAACACTCGCCACAGCAGCCGCAGCAGCTACACCAGCAGCTTCTTTAGGTGTCAGCTTCGTTCTCCCGGGACAGTTCTCGGGCTGCCCAGGAAAAACGATTTCCTGGTCAGCGATCTCGGGCTGGTGGCATGCCCGGAGGTTGGGGAAATGCGGTCCGCACAAACCCATATTCGGACAGATGGCCCCTCGGCATTGCACCTTGATTTCATCGGGATAGGTCTCCTTGTGATAGTTCAGAAAAGCGCTCGCGAGGTCCTCTCGGTTTATATCTCTTTGCAGCGTGGCTGTAGGAAATGTGCTGCTATCCCAGGTGACCAAGTCGGGAGGGAGAGCGGAGGCTTGGTCAAGGAGCCCTGCGATACACGAGAAATGGAAAAAAAATGGAGAAGGGGTTAACGCGTGGCATAGATGACGCAATTGAGTCCTGGATTCGACTTGCTTCTCATCCAGGGAGACAGGATTGCCTCAGGAGGCTTGCTTTCTAGGTAAAACCCAGAATAGTCCAGGAAATCTAATCGGCACTCATACGTACCTTGGTAAAACTCCAGTAACGTACACTACACAGTCGACTAAGATGCCGCTGACATTCACTAAGAAGCTAGAAATGACTCCGCACGAGGGTCGCTCAAAGGCTCAGGATCTTCCCTAGCACAAGTCAATTGACTTACAGGAGCCAGATGAAGATAATATGACGGGAAAAACTCCATATCTGCACTAGGGGGAGCTAAGGCGTCTACCACTTACCCGCAACAAGCGTAAAGGCCATCAGTGGCACTACATGGTTCAATGGGCTCGGTACGACGGAGCTTCTCATATGCTTCAACCATGGAAAGCTCTCCAGCGACGCCATTGAAGGCTTTATTGAGGATTTAATGGAGGTGCTCGAGGGTTCTACTCAGAGATTCGTATGCAAGTTTTAAGGATTTCAATGACGAAGCTTTCAGGTGTCAGAAATTAATCTCCAGTGGCTCGTTCCTTCTAATCTCTCTATCGCGCGTCAAACTCGCTTTTACTCCAGATATAGTTCTTCTGTAATGCTCCTGCCAAAGGACCTGAGCAGTCAGGAGACCGTCTCTGGAAGGCTCCAACCCCTCATTTCCCGCACGCCATGCGGCCGAGGTCGCCATGTTGAGGGGAATGAGCATCTATGCATGGCGGCTTGGCTTTGCACCTCGCCTATGCTGCGACGAATCGTCGTCGCGGAAGAGAATTTTCGCGACCGGCTCACGCGACAGTTGATGTCGCCACGAGCCGTCTCGCGAATTTCTCGAGAGCACTGAAGCACTGCGGGTGAACTTCCTGACCATTGAATGGCGTTTTCGGCTTCGAAGCCCCACAGCCGCCGCTCTCCCATCCGCGCAGCCGCCACATGGGAAGAAAATCGTCTCAATGCCGAGCTCTGAGCTACTGCTGTCGCATGATACTGTACGAGTCGTACTAGGATCGTGCGACTGGGAATGTCACACAGCTGCATTTGTAGGTGCGATGAACGGCTCAGGTTGCCTCTTTCAGTCGGGTCGAGGGGCTAGACCCATCGGACGGTCATAAAATACCAGACTCTCAAATCTAGACTCCTCTTAGCCAATTGTCGATTTCAGCTGAGCCGGGTCGAGAATTGAACCAGATCCGTCAAATGCTTCCAATCGGACGGCTCTCGCCGCGTCGGCATCCATAAAATTCCTCATTGGTCGCTTGCCGCTTGGAGCAAACGTCATTTGGTGGAGCTCGGTGGGGTAGGGTGTAGGCTCGGTCAGCTGTTGTGCGGTATTTCCTAAGCAGTCAATCATTGCTACAGAAGCGTGAGACATAATGGTTGGTGTTGCCTGCTACACGTAGGAGAAACTCGTGCTGGTGGAGGGTAAGCGGGCGTTACTATCTGACTTCCTGGAGCAGACAGATTGTCAAGCGGGTGAGTGACAGCAGGGAGTTTTTCCAGGAGTTGGGTTCCGAAGCGCAAGTGGAAGCGATTGTGCCTGTTGCTGCGGCCTGCCTCACACGACTCCAGCCTGCTTCTCTTTGACTGCTGCAATGCACCACAGCCATGAAACAGAGGAGATTGACTAGTGTTCTGCATGTGGGACATGAAACTGAAGTGGAATCCAACCAGTTTGTTACACCCTGCGGATTGTCCGCATTCTCATGGTTCCAGTTTCTTATCTCAGATTCTCAACCTTCTGGTTTCTCACTCAATCTCGATGTTCCCCACTCAACCTCGATGTTTCCCACTCAACCTCGATGTTTCCCACTCAACCTCGATGTTTCCCACTCAACCTCGATGTTTCCCACTCAACCTCGATGTTTCCCACTCTCCTCGACGTTTCCCACACGAGCTCCTCCTTGCTCTTCCCTGCAGCCACGCCAACCAATCGCATCGCAGAAGCTGGAGGAATGGAGGGAAAAGAAATAACCGTTGGTACGACTGATCGCGGTGCGGTTGGTTTGGTAGCGAAACGTTTGACGAAGTCATCGAAAGTAAGGGCGTGTAACCATTTCGACTTTTACGATATTTACGGACCGTCCGTATATTTTAAAGCGGACGGTCCGTATAACGAGAACAGGACCGTCCGCTTTGACGTTTCGGAACCGTGGCACCGTCCGAATTGAAAAATGACACTTTTTCACTCCCCTTCTGTTTCGCGACCACTGTAGCGTCGCCCAGTCCTCGCTAACCAAATAACCCAATACACAAGCATTCGCAACTATCGCAAAACCAACTCCGGCGGCTCGAATTCAAACATTGAAACCACCGAACTGCCTCACCCCACATGACAGAAATGTGTGAGAGACTCCTCCCGAACAGAAACAACACAAACCATCACGCCATGTCCCGCCGCCTCCTCCTCTCCGTGCTGCACTTGCTGTACAGGGGATACCAGGAAATCATTGTGCGCCCCGGCGCTGAGTATCTGGCGGAGATCATCCGACTCCTAGATCATGAGGACACCAACGTGTTGCAGCACGACCGCGAAAATCAGAGGCTTCGGTGGGACACTCTACTTGGAGCCATGCCACGGCAAATGTTCACGGAGACGTTCAGGGTTAATAGAAACGTGTTTAATTACCTTGTTGACGCCTGGATCAGCAGAAATGGAGACCGCAGGCGTGTGGTGCCTATCGAGACCTGTGTCGCCATGACACTTGTCTTCCTCGGCACGGGTGCAACGTATCGACAACTCGGGCTACAATTTGGAGTGGTCCCTCAGCATGCTCAACGCATTGTTTTGGGCTTCATTTATTTTATCGTCGAGGTGCTTCTCCCGCTATGGGTGGCATGGCCAGCGGAGGACCAGCTAGAAGAGATAGCCGAAGAGTTTCGCTTTGAGGGAGGGATTCCGGGGGTGATTGGAGCTCTAGATGGCACGTACATAGAGTGTCGTGGTTTTGGCAGAGACAGAGAGGACTTCAAAAAACCAACAACGCAGACATAGAGTGTCGGGTCGCCAAAACCACGACACTCTTCAACAACTCCCCCTTGCGACGACGAATGGAGGCCGGAGAGCGCGGCGGCTACATGCTCGTCACCGATGCCGCGTACGCTCTCACGAGCTACACGTGCGTACCGTGGCGAGCTACTCCGGGCGTGGCTCTGCCACAAGATCAAGACAAGTGGAACACGCAACAATCATGACAACGCATGGTTATCGAGCAAGTGAATGGGCGCCTCAAAGGAAAGTGGCGGATTTTGGATTGCCGGATGGAATGCCACAGCAGGCGTGTGCCGCAAATTGTGAGCGCCTGCGTGGCACTCCACAACATTGAGTTGACGGTGGGGAGTCGGGATCGCCTCGGGCCGCCGCGGGTGAGACATCGATGGTGGCTCGAGGGTCCAGCCGCTTCCCTCCGACTTACCGGCGCCGACGTACGCGGGTTTACGCCTCGTCTTCGGATGAGAAGGTGGACTGCGGCGATCTACGCCTCCTACTGCGCCGCTCATCCGCGTAGCCGCGAAACACCTCACGGGTAAGTGCCTTAAACTCCTCCCATTTCTCGTCTTGCTTCTTATCGAAGTGGTCGCGTAAGTCGCCCACCATCTCGGCCGTGGACATCGACTTTGATTTGGCCGCCGACTTTCGCCCCACCCCTTTCTTGCCTGGCTTCCCATTCTTGGCCGTGACGGCGTCGTCTTGCTTGCGGGGGTATTGCCACCATGCGTTGCGTGAGCATCCCTCCCCCCCATCAGAGGACGTGCGCGCTCCCCAAGTGAGGCGGCGACCGCGGATCGACAGACCCGCCGTCGCACTTGAAGGGAGTTCGGCGTTGGTCGGCTCTGACGCGGGGCTCGGCTGGATTGTGTCGGGGGAGAGAGGCGAGACGGTGCCGCGGCGAGCAGTGTCGGCGGTGTCGGCGTTTGGCGGGAGGGGAGATGGGGAGTCTGGGGTCTGGTTGGCGGAGGGTGCAGGCGAGGGAGCAGGCGGAGGTGGCGGTGCGACCGCACCGTTGATTGTGGCGGCAGCGGTGAGGCCAGGAGATGCCCTACTAGTGGTGGGAGGCCCCGGCGCAGCTGAAGGCAGGGACACGGATGGCGACAGTGTTGACTGCGTGGGCGTAGTAGTCTGCGCATTGATGGCGTCGTCTGCCGTGTCGGGGTGCGACGGAGTTGTAGCCGTGGCGCCGGTCGTAGTTGTGCGCGTCTGGCGCCGAGGTGACGGAGTTGCAGAGGCTGGCGCCACGACACCACCAGCGGGTAACCCTGTGCCTGCAAGAACGGGAGGGACAGTGCTGGGACGCTCACCCCAGAGGCGGTCGCCCAGGTGAAACCAAGGCGGGAGGCCAGTTGCGCGTCCCGACCCTGAGCGCTTGATACGGTCGTTGATCCGGCGCCACGTCTCCTTGAGCCGGTTGAACTTTGCCTTAAGCGCCGTGATGTCGTGCCTCCATGCGGGATCACGAGCCATGAGCTCACGCTGCACTAACGGGTACCAGCTGCGGCCCTGCTGGCCTGTGCGAGCGCGGATCTGGGGGTCGAGGTCGATGAATGTTGCGAGAACTTCACATTCCTCCCCGGGTGTCCAGCGCGGGGTGCTCCTGGCCGTGGAGCGGCGGGATGCCGTGGCGGTGTTGCTGGCCCGTGTTGTTTCCGGCTGGGCAGGTTCCTCCTCCACCTCGCCGACGTCATTAACTTCACCGGCGTTGGCGCCGAGGCCATAGTCGTCATCGGCATCGTAACTGTCTGACGGGGACGGCAGGCGGTACACCCACCAGTCGACGGGAGTCACGGCGGTGTTAGCGGAAGGAGCGGGCGTTGCGTTACTTGGGCCGGGAATTTGAGACTCCTGGGTCTCTGGTGGAGGCACTCCAGGTGGTGCTGGGTTGGCCTGAGCAGTTGGAGTGGAGCTGGGCTCGGTTTCAGTCGGTGTGGTAGGCTGGGATGGACTAGTTGGCTCCATGGTTGCGAGTGTTTGCAATGTGACTTGATTCGGCCATTGTGTTGGCAATTTTTTTTAGTGACAACCAGCGTGCCAAGGTGCGTGACGTGGGTCGTTCGGATAGACAATGTCGAGCCGCATGTGCGCCAAATTTCCAACGATAGCGGCTCGCCAAATTTGCAGGCATGAATTTCGCCCGCCAATCCCTGCTCAGAAGTGGCGGACCGTCCGTTGTGGTTTCGGACGGTCCGAAATGGCAGTTTCGGACGGTGGGAAAAGGAGAAAAGTGTCATATGTTTCGGTTTTTTTTGCGACGTCGCAGGTGGTTTGGCGAAACAACATGCGACAAAGCACGAAGTGGGTAACTCTTCGCCAAAGCGGACGGTCCACATTTCGGACCGTCCGGATGAAAAAAAAGCAAAATGGTTACACGCCCTAAGGACTCTCTCCAAGATCTCCATCACGACTTCCCTACAGTCCTAGGGGAAGGTGTTACGTGGTGGGCGATCAGGCGAACTTCTGCTGCATCTGGCGAAAACGTGACACGTGACGAAGGTTTTGTGCCACACAAGGCGAATCAACGCCGAGAGGTTTGCTGACATGTGTGCCTGTGCGGATGAGTGAGGTCGTGCGTGAGGTGGGTGGTACCTACCACAGCAAGTGTTATACACCCTCTTTCTCGATAGACTGGCATATGTTAGACTCGCCGGGAGGCCTAGTGTAACCGCAACGGACCAAAGAAGGTCCTATCACATGCGTTATAGTGACAATTCGACCCAAGGCGGTCAGTCAGGGTTTCAAACGTTATAAAATGGTACTTTCGTTTTCAAAACGGTTGGAACGGCTATTCAGCTTTCACGGTTTTTTACTGCCCAAGGCTTGTTTCGTCACCTCGTGCGATTTTGCCCGCAACCGAGTTATCGCACCAGCCCGCTACGTCCAAACACTGTAGCCAGTGCTTCCGCTGGTGAGAAAGGTGAGAACGAGGGTGTATAGCTTCACCGCGTTCAAACAAACATAACCTCCCTCAATTGTGGGAAAGAGTGCTCTCTCTTGCACACACATATTACCGGTACATTCAGAAGGCTTCCCTCATGCGTGGTGGGTAGGTGGGGGTGTTACTTGAAAAACTATGGTACCGTAGTACAAACGCTTCTATAACGGTACAGCTCCACTGAAGAGTAGTTACTGCTTCTCTGCAATGCGAATTTATACAGAAGTTAGATGCCGTATATACCTTTTCCTTGTAATAGTGTAAGGAATTTTCTCGACATTCCTTAGCACATCCTGCAACACCGCGTACAGCAGCAGCCGCTGTTCGCCCGTTACTGCTAACGGGGCTTCGCCGACTTCGCGCGCTCTGTTTCACCAAACCATGCACCGCTGGCCCGGCCGTGTCGGCCTACGCTTCGGGACTAGCCCGAGCCTTGATGCCAGCCTAGCACTAGCTAGCTCGCACGCACCGCGTTACCGTTTGCATGTTTCGCGTATAAATGTTTGCTCATGCCTTCGCTCACATTTTGTACTCGTTTGACACTTAGTGCAATCCTCGATACCTCGATTCATTGCACCTTTAACACTTGGTAGCAGAGCCTTCTTTCTTTCGGACCGCTCATCTCCGCACCACAGGGAATCAACTTTTGATCTTTCACTCGAAGGGACGCACGCACCTTAGCCCCTAGGAGCCGCTGTCCTCGTGTTCTCTCGTAAACGCGTGCAGCCACGACTGCGCCTAGACTAAGACGAGCCGACGCCCTTCGTAATGGCCGAGCATATCGACGTCACGACGCTCATGTCAGAAATAACGAACGAGAAATGAATTGACTAACAGCAGGATGGGTACAAGTACTAACCCTAATTGGGTTGTACCCCATACGGGCTACCCCACTAAAGCCTACACAAGATATAGCATATAAGTTTGACACACCCCCATAGGCAAAGTGGGGGAGAACAAGAGGTCACAAGACCAGTCAAGAAAAGCAAAGCAAGCTCAGGGTGGATCACGAAGTCACCACGCATTCTGAGCACAAGCGAATGGCCAGTACACATGCAGAGTTATATAAAGGAGAACAAGCAACCTACCAAGTGTAAGCATGCAGGTATAAGTATATAGATCACAGTACAAGCAAAGTCAAGAAGTAAGCAAGTGAGGCCAAGTAGGCACAAGGCCTAGAACAGTACAGAAACGCTGATGATCACAAGGCTGAAGTGCCTTGGTGAAGATATCAGCAGTGTTGGCCCGAGAGGCCACGTAAGCAAGACGAAGCTGACCACGCTCCTGCAACTCTCGAGCAAGGAAGTAGCGCAGAGCGATGTGCTTCGTTCTGTGCTCCAGTCTGTGCTCCTGACACAAGGCAATTATGGCCTTGTTGTCGATGTACAGTACTGGAGGAGAACGAGGCGGCTCGCCCAAGTCGGTCAGCAGGTAGGTGAGCTAGCGTAACTCCTGTGCGGCCATGGCCCCTGCGTAGATCTCAGCCTCACAACTCGAACTGAGAACAGAAGACGAGCGGGTAGACCGCCAGGAAACAGAGCCGGAGCCAAGGCTGAAGGAGTAACCCTGTGACGACCGCTGCGTAGCCAAGTCGTCAACCCAAGAAGCGTCTACGTGACCAGTGAGGACAACTCGAGCCCGTCCTCCAAGCACGAGCCCCATGCACGACGTACTGCACAAGTAGCGCATCACCCACTTAGCGGCCTTCCAGTGCTCTGGTCGGTGTCTCCCTGGCGCAACGTAGCGAGCCTGGATGCTAAGAGGGTAAGCAAGGTCAGGTCGAGTGCAGGTCATCAGGTACATGAGGCAGCCCACAAGCTCTGGATACGGGCCACTCGGCTCTACGGACTCATCCGAAGGCAGAGCTGAGAGCGAGTGACCGGTAGGCAGAGGAGTGGACTGTGGCGAGGAGTACGTGAAGCGGAAGCGCTGAAGGACCTGCTACACCATGTGTGACTGAGTCAAGGTAATGGTGCGCTGTGCTCTGTCCCGGGTGATCTGCAAGCCAAGATAGCTGCACAGCTCACCCAGGTCTGTGCACGTGTGTCTCTTCTGCAGCTCCGACTTCACGTGGGCGAGTCCCTCAGTGTCAGCAGTGGCAAAGACCAAGTCGTCGACGTACACGAGGATGTAGAACGGCGGCAGCGAAGTGTCGGTGCGTAGAAACAGCGACGGGTAAGCAGTAGAAGGAGCAAACCCAAGAGCCGCAAGAGTCGTCCTCAGTGTGTCGTGCCACTCGCGAGGCGCCTGGCGGAGACCGTAGACTGGCCGCCGGAGGCTCCACTGGGTACCTGCAGGAAACGACCCAGTGAAGCCAGGTGGGCGGCGCAGCCAGATCTCCTCGTGCAGGCTGCCCTGTAGGAAGGCAGTGCTGAAGTCAAGAGAGTGAAGCTCGTAGTCACGCTGTGCGGCAACGTGCAGCAGCACCCGAAGAGTGGTCATCTTCGGGGTAGGGGAGAAGGTCTGGAAGAAGTCAACTCCCTGTCGCTGACTGAAGCCTCGAGCAACGTAACGCACCTTGAAGACAGGCGGAGAACCCGGCGGCCGCTTCACCCTGAAAATCCACATGCCACTGACGATGTTCGCCCCAGGTGGGGGAACCTCGTCGACGTAGGTGCCTGTGGACTTCCAGGAAGCCATCTCTGCGTCCATGGCTGTCTGCCACTGAGAGGAGTAGGGACCCTCAATCGCCTCTGCGTAAGAGCGCGGGGTCGGGATGTCTGGTGCATCCGGGTCTCCCTCAGGTGCAATCAGCATGGACACGAGATGAGGTAAAGCAGCTGCAAAAGACTCAAAGTCCTCCTGCCTGTCCTCAAGGACGTCCGTGCCAAGAGCACACTCACCCCCGACGAACGGAGGACAGACAGACTCAGACTCAGCAACAAGACTAGCAGCGTAGTCAAGGTGACAGGCAGCAGCAAAGTCAACCAGCTCAGCAACTAGGGCAGACGCAGCAGTGGACTCAAATGAAGGGTCAGTGACAACAGTGGCTAGAAGACGTGTGATAGTAGGACTGGAAGCACGAGCAAGGTCTGACGGCGGGTAAGCAACGTCAGGAAGAGAGGACGCAGGAGGAGACGGAAGAGGGACACGTTTTGGAACAGAGGAAGGACGGAGTTCCTGGGACAGGAGGAGGACGCGGACATGGAACACGACGACCAGTGCGGACAGCGCGAACAAGCGACGCAGGACGAGACTCAGGCTCACGACGCTCCGCAAGACCTCCGGTCGGCCCAGTGTAAGGAGAAGGACCAGGCAGTGGGGAGGCTGGCTGTAACTGCGACTGCGACTGGTCAGGCGGTGGACACAGTAAGGGAGGAGTAGGGCCAGTAGAAGGCGGGAGACCAAGAACCTGCTGAAGGAGTGGAACGAAGTACGGCCGCGGCCGGGCAGCGCCTCCAGAACCAGCACCGACAGCACCAGTAACCCCAGCTCCAGGGTCTCCAGCTCCAACGCCTGCAGTACCACCAGCTCCAGAAGCACCTCCAGCAGCTCCAGCTCCAGCAGCACCTCCAGCAGCTCCGGCTCCAGCAGCACCTCCAGCTCCAGCAGCTCCAGTACCTCCTGCTCCAACTCCTGCATCACCACCAGCTCCAGCAGCTCCAGTACCTCCAGTACGAGCACCACCGGGACCAGCGACTCTAGCACCTCCAGCACCTCCAGGACCAGCAGCTCCAGCACCTCGGGCTCCCACGCCCGCAGTACCACCAGCTCCAGCAGCTCTAGTACCTCCAGTACGAGCACCTCCGGGACCAGTGGCACCAACAACTCCAGCAGCTCCAGCTCCAACGCCGGCAGTACCTCCAGCTCCAGTAGCTCCAGTTCTCCAGCTCCAGGGCCTCCAGCAGCAGACCCCCCAGCTCCAGCAGCGGCACGCCGAAGGCTCCAGCGCCGAGCAAACCACTCGCGCAGCTGCAGTGGAGAGAGAGGCTCCCGCCGTGACGAGGCACCTGTAGGACCTCCAACAGACTCAGCACCCCCAGGCTCAGCACCCCCAGTCTCAGCACCTCCAGGCTCAGCACCCCCA